AACAACAAACAAGCTAAAAGCAAGAACATACATCATCATCATCTCCTTTAACTTTGGAAGATAATCCAAGGCAACAAAGAACTAGAAGCTTGCAGGAGATATATGAGGTGACTAGTGTGCTTAATCTCATTTATTATTTTTCTTACTAATCAAGAGTCAATTTTCTATGAAGAGGCAAAATAAATAAGAATGCTAATGGAGCAGTAGTAAAATACAAACCAAGATAGGTTACTAAATGGTACAAGCAATAACCTGTCATCAATCATGTTGAGATATTTGTAAATATTGCTTGTCTGGAAACTATATAGATTGATATTATGTATGCTGCTCAAAATTGATGAAAGTTTTTCAAATTGTTACAAAATTTGCTTTCACAACTAATAGTTTTGTTCAATGTCCTTACAAATATAATTTATACATATAAGAAAGAGATATATCTCAAGTTGCGTTGTATATGAATGATCTTATATTCACAAGAACCAATGCTTACATTTTAGTGAGTTCAAGTTATAAAAATTTAAGAGTTTAAGATGATGAATGTCATCAACTTTTATGTCTTGGAAGTACAATAAGTGAAAAATGAATTGACACTTAGGCTTCGTTTGGGCCAGCTTTCTTACTACTTTTTAATGAACCAATGCTTACATTTTAGTGAGTTCAAGTTACAAAAATTTAAGAGTTTACGATGATGAATGTCATCAACTTTTATGTCTTGGAAGTACAACAAGTGAAAAATGAATTGACACTTAGGCTTCGTTTGGGTCAGCTTTCTTACTACTTTTTAAGATAGCTTTTTAGTATATAAATTAAAATTTTGTATTAAAAACTAAAAAGCTATTTTAAGAAACATTAATAAAATCATCCCAAATAAAACCTTGGTGTCACCAGAAACTCAATCATTTTATTGGAATGAAGGATGAAAAAAAAAGTTAAATTTAAGGGGTGTTGAAATTTAAAAATTAATTATTCTAAGAATTTATAAAATTCAAGGCTTAATTTCTTTTATGAGCATATTACAAATATATGTATCATATAGATATGATCATACAAACAAGTCTTATCTCATTTTTTAAACATAACTCTTACGTAGTTGTATCATAACTCATTAGAATTGACTTTTATCTAAAAAATCGAAAGAGTGGATATATACAACCATGGGCGGATCCCCATTCACTTGAGGGGGGGCAAATGCCCCCCCTCAAAAATTTTTTTTTTTAATTTTAAAGGGTATAGTTTGGAATATTTTGGATATTTTAGGTATTTTGCCCCCTCTCAAAAAAAATTTTTGCCCTCATTTTATCAATCCTAAGCATTTTTGCCCATCCCCCACCCAAAAAATTTTTTTGCCCACCCTCAAAAAAGAAGCTGGATCCGCCCCTGTATACAACCATATGATTATTTTAGGATAACAACTCAACAACTTTTACATTAAAGGTTTATTTGTGATAGATTTCTTCACTACACGAAAAACATTATTACCAGCTGATTTTTTGGCGGATTTGAAAGTTTTTCGGCGAATTTTCGATGAAATTTTTTTCGACAGTAAAACGAGCATCGGAAACATGTTCAGTCAAAAAAAATAGAATTTTTTCCGGTGGATTATTTCCGTTGGTACAATTTCCGGCGAAAAAAAACAGCCGAAATAAAGAAAATTGATAAAAAAGCCATCCGATTTCAGAATTCTTGCCGGCCCGCCTGCAGCAGCTTCCCGTAGACCCGCTACACGCCTATGCCAGTGTCGACGCGCACCACAACCCAGCTGCTCCGCCCCACAGTCCAGCCCGCTCTGACCCGCATGCCGACCCGTGCCTAGGTCCGCCACGCCTGTGCTCAAGGCGGGGTTCGAACCCGGACTCTCGTGCGTCCCGCGCATGCCCACTTACCATCACACCGTTTATGCAAAAACATTTAACTTATTATTTTTTTATATTTATATTATAACCTATACGAAATGAGCATATACGTGAAAAGGTTGGAGTAGCTACAATAGAAGATAAGATTAGAGAAAGTCGTCTTAGATGGTTTGTTCACATAAAACGGCGGCCTTGCGATGACCCGGTTAGGAGAGTAGAGGTATTAGATTTGACTTATGTTAAGAAAGGTAGGGGTAGACCTAAAAAGACTTGGTTAGAAAATATTAGGAATGACCTTTCTTTATTAGATTTAAACGAGAATTTGACTTTTAAAAGGACACAATGGAGAAAAAGGATTCATGTAGCCGACCCCACGTAGTGGGATAAAGGCTTGATGTTGTTGTTGTTGTATTTATATTATAACCTATAGAATATTACAATTAATTATTATTTTTCTTATTATTTTAATGATTAAACTTTTCTTATTATTTTAATTTTATAATATTTAATTTAACAAAATTAATAATTTTATATATTTCAAATAATTGATTAAACTTTAGTAAAATTAATAATTAATTAAATTTGTTATTTTAATTAATAAATAAAATAAGTTATTAAATTAATACTTAATTAAATAAAGTTATTAAATGAATAATTAATTAAAATAATTTGATATATTAATAATTAATTAAAATAAAATGTTAGAAATTATTAAAATTCATCGAAAAATCCGTCGGAAAATCCGCCTGAAATAAATCCACCGGAAAGTCCGACGGAAAATATGTGTGAAAAATAGTAGGAAATATTTTAGCATATATAATCCGCTGGAAAATTCGCCGGAAAATAGTCTTACATCGGTAATAAACAATTTTTTTGAAGTGCTTGCAGTTTATTTTTCAGACAACAAGCACAATTTCATTTGTCTACTATTTAAAAAAAAAAGTGTTTTAAAGCTATTTTTTTGTAACAAGAGTTAGGGTTCGTTTGGGACTATTGCAGTTGTTTATAAAGGCAATTATAAAGCTGATGTAGAGAACCTAGCTTTTTTTTATAGTTGTTGTAGGAAGTAGCTTTCTAGTATAAAAAATTATTAAAAACACTGAAAAAACAATGTCCAAGTAAAAATTATGATTGAGATTTGAAAAGCAAAGCAATAATAAAGCTGTCATAATCAAAGCCTTACTAAGTTAATTTTCCCAAAACAACTTTACAATCAATTTTATTAAACGATACAATTATCTTGAACAAACCCTAAAAAACTTCCCTAAACAACCTCTATTTAAACCAATACAACTACTTCCTTCAAGAAAGTCGAACTAATTTTCCCTAACAAACATTATTAGTTCCTTTAGGGTTGTCCCCTCCTCCCTTCTAGTGGCCTTCCCACTGTATTAGAGCAATGAGCTTCAGTAGCTTAGTAAGGAAAATTTACCATTTGAAGAATATGTCCCTTTCCCAAGGACCATCTTCTTCCACTAGCTTGCTTCATTAGCCACATGTTTAAATTTAAGTATTCAGGCCATTAAGCTCATTTTAATTTGTTGGTTGGGAACTTTGGCTGCTAATCAATAGATTTTGAGTTCAAAGTTTATGTATCTGATGTGTGTGTGAATTTATCTTAATAGCTCAAATGTCTCCAAAAAAAATATTCAAGCCCTCAACAAACAGAAAGTTCTAGCAAAATTTAAACTTAGACTCTGTTTGTAATAGCTTTCTTATTATTTTTAATATATTTTTTTAGTATATTTTTTTTTTGTTTTTGAAAGCAACAAAAAATAACAATAAAAAGTTGTTCCTTCATTTTGAAATAATTTTCTTAATATTTTCTAAGCAACTTATAAATATCAAATTTCCTTAAAAGGAGCAAAAAAAAAGTTGTAAGATAAAAGCCATCTCAACAGAATCCTTAGCGTTGACTTGACATTCATATGACGCTCTTAGGCTTCGTTTGGGACAGCTTTTTTATTGCTTTCTAAAAAGGAGTTTTAGTATAAAAATAAAAAAAAAATTGTACTAAAACTCCGTTTTAGAAAGCAATAAAAAAGCCGTCCCAAACAAAGCCTTAATTTCCTAGACTTGAAGGGCATATATATTTTATTTCTTATCATCTTATATATTGAACTAATATTAAGTTTTGTTGTGGATAAATCACTGCTCTATTTATTTAGATGCTCTACAAAATTTATATTCGTAACTTTTTTTTTGGAACGGATATCCACCCGTTTTCACCTTCAAAAGGGTGCTTGACAGCCTGCCTATTCTTGACTAACCTAGAAGAGGCACTCACCTCAAAAATCTCCTGTCCATCACTTGATTGGGCCCCACTTAAGAAGCGTTGTCGCTCTAGGGGATTCGAGCAAAGGTTTGGGGGTTCCCAACCGTACTCGCCCACCAACCAAACTAAACAAAAGTGGGTATTCAAAACATATTTAAATGATGCAACTACCATTGGTTAATAAATCATATATTTACCATTGTCATTGGATACAGCTAAGCCTACTACTATATCAGGAATAGGAGCAGGACCCCGACCGCATTCAGAAACGCTGCCTCTAAATGGGCGAGCTCACGGGCTCGATCTGAACCACTTAAATACCTGCGTGAACCGATTAATAATCAACCAATTACAAAAAAACAAAAAAAACAAAAAAACAAAAAAAACATCCCAATAAAACATTTATTCCGACATTTCACGGAGAAATTGTCTAATTTTGTTGTCCGGATGCCGTAATTTCTCCATTTCTCGACCCTTAAGTTTTGAAAATGGCCGGGGCTATTCTCGGAAACTCACCGCCAGTATCTTAAATGCTGTTCGGCTCAGGTGGCGGTTCTCCGATACCAAGGTGCTCGTCACCACCCTCTGCTCTCCCATCGCCTGGTTCCTTGCACGCCCTACACGAAGGCGCATCGTTTGCTAATAGCCACCGCGGAGAAATTTGAGAAATATCAGTTATAGAAATAGCGCGAGTGAGTGAGACGGGGTGGGGGAGAGAAAGCGCGCACCGTTAAACGTTTAAAAGCAAGCTTTTCAGTGTTGTCTTCTTCCTTCTTTGCTTTTAATCTTTTTCTGACAGCCTCCCGGCGGAGACTGTTCAGGGTTCACTGTTCTCCGTCCTTTTATACTCGCCTCCATAATCACTCTAAGCAATGGGCTTCCAACTACAGAGATCGGTCGTAGAGGAGCACGGATCCCCGGAGACGTCTGCAACTCCGCCACCGCCGCCACAGCAAAAGCCGGCCGTCGTGCCGTTCCGACCAAGCGTTGCTGTTATAGTGGTCGTGCTCACCACCATGTTCTCCCTCACATTTCTTCTGCTTCTATACGCCAAGCACTGCCGAAGACAGGCGGCGGCGGCTGCGGCCGCCTCCGCGGCCGCCAGTGGAGGGGTCGGATTAGTGGCGCTTAGCGGGACGGCGGAGGATCGGACTTCTGGGGTGGAACGTGCGGTGGTGGAATCTTTGCCTGTTTTTCGGTTCGCCTCGCTGATGGGGGAGAAGGATGGGCTCGAGTGCGCGGTCTGCTTGGGCCGGTTTGAGGCGGAGGAGCTCCTCAGGCTTCTTCCTAAATGTCGCCACGCCTTCCACGTCAACTGCGTTGACGCCTGGCTCGAGTCTCACTCCACATGCCCACTCTGCCGCTCTCGCATTCATCCTGAGGACGTTCTCCTCCTCCGCCGCCCCGATCCGATGCCGCCGCAGGTGTCGTCTGTAGCGGCGGCGGCGCCACCCGCTCGGAGAGTCTCAGGCAGGCACTCTTCGGCTGGAGAGAAGACAAGCGGATGCACCATTGTTGTATCAACGGAGAGGCAGAGAAAAGACGGGCTTTTGCTGTCGGCGGCGGCAGAGGGGGAGGGGGACGGTGGGCGGTATAGTCATCGGGTGGTGTTCTCTGGAGGAGGATCTCAGGAAAGGTGGAGTGATTTGCGGCCGTCGGATCTGATGTTTTTGAGGTCGGAGACGACAATCACGGGGAGTGGGAGGTTCTCTGCAGCGGCGGGGGCCGGTGGCGGGGCCCGGGTTGGGCCGAGAAATGCAGGGGTGATTACAGGTGTGAGCCGAACCGGTGCGACGGAGGACCGGACAATGCGGAGGTGGCTCGGGTTCGCAACGAAGCGGACGGCGGGGTGGCTCGGAGGGGGGAGCAGTGGTTAGAGGGTTGGAAACGACGAGAATGCCCGTGGGCGTTTGTGGCATTCAATTGGGGGATTCGAGGAAGGGCGTTCACGTGACCGTGGGTGCGCTGTTCATCGGAGGAGGATTGGGAGGAACTAGGGCGGATGTCGGGCTTCTTTGTTTCTTGTGCGAGCGAAGATCTCGAAGGTTGTCGAGATTTGTGCTTCCGGCCAATTGAACGGCGGTAATCGGTGGAGACCGGCCAATATCTCGCTGGGGATGCTCACTGGTGCTTCGAACGCAGGGAAGGAAAATATTTATACGGTGATCCCACCGAGTTATTGTTTATTTAATCGGAATTTGGCTTCTTGATTTGTATTAAAATCTCTACAGTATGAATCACAATTTTGAATACTATGCATCCATGTTGAGGCAAATCAACAAACACATCGAAGTTGTTAAAATAAACTCGCCAAAATCACCTAAACAAGAGGGATTCGACTCTTGAAAAAGGTCTATAAGTGTTTTAGCTACTCTTGGCCTCAAGGCTGACTGGATGAGATTGCCTTAACTTTATGGTATTTTTATTTATCAAAAGTTCAAAACTCTACCAACGTTCTTGAAGTAGGTCCGTGACTCCACGACGACTCAGGTTTCGTTTGGGACGGCTTTTTTACTGCTTCTTAAAGCAGCTTTCTAATATAAAAATTAAAATTTTTGTATTAAAAAATGACTTTAAGAAGCAGTAAAAAAGCTGTCACAAACGAAACCTCAATCTTTAATTGAAAATCTCCTGTAATCACATAACTACAAGTAGGGATCAATAGATGATCCGACCCGACAATTTGAACCTAACTAGACTCGAACAATTTGGGTTAAGATTGGCCAGCGAATTCACTTTTGACCTGAAAATGATAAGTTTGATAACTTTTTTTTTATTTGTGGGTATAATCTTTTTTTCTTTTTTTTATCAAATATTCTAAATTTTTTATGGTTAATAAAATTAAAAAAAAAAAACTAAACCAAAATGAATTAATAGGTCGAGTTCGAGTCATTTGGGTTGTTAGCGTGTCAGATTTAGGTTGGTCTTTTTAACATATTTATTAAAGTGATTGAGATCGGGTTTTTTGAATTTGTTTTTAATGTCAATTTCGGGTCATAGGCAAACTTGATCTATCAAACCATTTTGATACCCTTAATTACAAGTTGGACACATTCATTCATAATGGGTTTTTATTAAACCATAAAATATAATTTATTTATTTGACTTAAATATAGTATTTATCGTAACAAAATGTCTGCATCCCTATTAAGAACCAAAGGATTATGAGGTGAACATAAGGTATACTGAGGCTTCATTTGAGACAACTTTCTTATTGTTTCTTAAATCACCTTTTTAATACAAAAAGTTCAATTTTTGTACCATAAAACTGCTTTAAGAAGCAGTAAAAAAGCTGTATCAAACGAAGCCTGAGTCATGGTTACAACCTTATGCTATACGACATTATATTGGAAATTTTGAGTTTTTGTTACATCAAAACCAACATTACCTACTCCAAGGATGTCATGAGTGTACAATTTAAAGCAATTGGAAGATTGACAATAATTTGAGAGTTTCTACTGGTAAAAAAATTATTTTAAATGTTGAATAACATAGCATTTCTTGCATAAATGAATGACGTGTGATTAAATGAAATATATGAATGTATGATCGATATTGATTACTAATTTGACATAAATTCTTTAATGAGCTTTTGAAGTGATTTTGACTTGATAAGAGTTTAATTTAGAATGGATTTGCTTTATATCGGTTTTGTGCTCAAATCCTTAGTGGAAATGTCTGGGATTACATTTTTCTAAAGTGGATAGATTGTAAAATCTAAAATTTCTAAAATGAGAATCTTAATTTCTATTTGAACCACACATAGCAATGCTAGATCAGTGAGCACACTGATGACAAAAGTTGTCATTGCAGTATTAAAGGCTATGATATATAATAATTATAGATTCAGCATGTAGCACTACGATATTGAGTGGTGGCGTTACCCACAGAAAGAGGAAATCAAGATTTTTTTGGTCGCCAATTCGCCATAATGTTTTTACGAAAATTGCTCATATTGTGGTAGGTGACAATTTCAATACTTCTATTTTAAAGATTTTGATTTAATTGGTTTAATTTTCCCAAACCAATTGTATTGCATTTGCTCCGAATTTAGCAAACATTAAGCACATAACTTTTTGTATTTTATTGTATCGAGCGATAAGTTGATGGCGACAATCGCACTACATTTTGTTGGAGGAAGTGGGTATGCATGCTAATGTGGGCAAATAGCGCATGACATGATGGAGGGGTTTGATTCTATGTCAACCGCAATAATTTAGCAGCACACTCATAATGTCGACTAAGTAGAGTTATGATGGTCTGGTGATGGTTTGTAGAAAATTTTATGATACGCTGATCATTACTTTAAAAAATATTCGATCAGGCACATACTCCTTCATTGAGATTCATCACAATATACTATATGAGGTTGATGTAAGTATTTTACTTTATGCAATTCAACTTTTTAGATGATGAAGAACATATGTCTAAAATTGATGTAATAACATTGTATGACTTTGAGAAATTTTTATGAACTTGATATTTTTTTTTAAATAATGAATGTTTCACCCTCTTGTAAGAATATTTATGAACTTTCCCCCATGGTTTGATCACATAAAATATCAGACTCCCAATGATCCGGTTAGAAGAGTAGATGTATTAGATTTGGAACATGTTAAGAAATGTAGAGGTAGATCTAATAAGACTATAAAATATTAGAAATTATCTTTTTTATTATATTAAAATGAAAATTTCACTATTAATAGGACACAATGGAAAGAAATGATTCATGTAGCTAACCCCACGTAGCACAAAAGTCCAGCGACGGGTGGAAGTTAGATGACGGGCATAAATCCAACGACAGTCGATGGCTAGGTGGAAGTCCTGATAGTGATCGAGAAAGAGCTTGTCGACAAGAGAGATCTTAGATTTCTCTTCTTTATTCCTGTCCTTCACCATCCTTTTTCACCCTCTTTCCTTTTGCGAATAAATGGAGGGTTTATCTATAATTTTTTAGGAGTGGCATGACTAGTAATTAATAATGAGAAGATCAATGGTAGATTAGAGTGATTAGATGGATTGTCAATATTGATTCCCTTAATCATAGACTGTTTATTGGACAATTGAGTGCCTTAATGATGTAAAAATTCACAATGTTGAGCTCGTTGGATTTGTCTCAACGAGGCCCTCGATTCGACTGTAAGGATGTCACATTTGAAAATCATTTAGTTATCCAATTTATATTTCAAACCTTCTAAACGTGTTTCGGACTCTTGATTTGGAACCATTTGGACTTGGATGGGATTTAATTTGGTTTTGTTGAGTTCGTCTTTTTGAAACGTTCAGTTCGACTATGAGTTTACTGTAATCAGAATTTAGATGGTCCCGGAGTTAATTTCAGATATTTCCAATTCCAATTTATCTCGTGATTCGTGACCGATCAAGATATATATTTTATAATATATCAATATTATAATTATCTCATTAATCACTTAAATATTCTCTTACTCATTAAATTTTAATTTTTTTTGAAAAAACAGAAATCCATTAATGAAAGAAGGTTACAAAAGGAGACCACACATCTGGCCACAGCATAAGCTTACATGAATAACATTAAAAACAAAGCAAAGATGAAAAAAGTTAAAGATCAATAAAGTCGGACTCAGACCAGCTCCGGGTTGCCAGGGTGGGGCCATCCACTGGAATATTCATAAACGAAGGGCCAACCAGGTTGCCAACCAACCCTGGCCTTCCACGACGCTTGCAGCCACGCTGCTTCCTCATCGTCCAAAACAAAACCATTTGATCGGTTAACCAACAAGTCACAAAGGCATACCAACGAAAGAAAAGCAACACAATCAGCAACCCCAAAACATCACATAATCTAACATTCAACGACCACGTCTGCCCCGGCCACGAGGTCTACCACGAGGGGCAACAGAAACAACCGGTAGATCATGCAACAAATTAAAAGAATTGCTAGGATCGCCATCTCCGATTGATTCCACATAATCAGAAGCAGAATCAGAATCGGTACTATAGTCATGAAGCCAGTCCAGGTGGGTTCTCACTTCAATGCCCGAATTATCCTTTATATGATACATTAATCCTTGGGGCTCTATAAAAGTAACAAGAACATCAACACAATCATTAATCACTAAGCTGTCATTAGGAGTAGGACTAGAGTTATTAATAATTATATACTTATTTATATTCTTAATTATATAATTAATAATTTATATTTCAAATTATATTAAATTTTAATTACTAACTATACAACTAATTATTTAATTAAGTTAATTTAAATTATTTATTTATAATATTAATTATTTAATTAATCTAATTAATTATTAATATTTTAAATTATATTAATTTAGCTAAATTAGATTCATTTCTGATTTGAATGATAGGATGTTTAGAATTTGAGTTTTAAATTTAATTAAAATTTAAATTAATTATCAATTTATACGAATAATTAGTTAATTATTAATTATATTATTTTTAAATTATTTTTTGTTAAATTAGTTGAATCAAATTAATTAATTTCTACGATAGATACCTCTCTCCAATGCAATGGCCGAGATTTCTAAGAATTTCTCTGCTCTCTCTTGCTGGAATTTTTATTAGGTACAGACACCTGACGTAGCTCTACATTCGGACGTCAATAAAATGTCGCCACGTACTCTTACTCTTTACTGCGCGGCTCGACGACCCGACCTGGAATGGAAACCCGGTATTGCTATGTTCCTGTATTGCTAGGTATTGCTCGGTATTGCTTGGCAATAACGAGAAATATCGCTCTGTCAAGACCAATACCGAGCAATACCTAGCAAAACTGGGGTACTGCTCAGTATTGCTAGGTATTGCTTGGTATTGGTCTTGACATAATAGTATTTCTCGTTATCGAGCAATATCGAGCAAAACCTAGCAATACCCTGGTCTGTACAAATCAGCCAATTCATAGCAATATTGGATTCCGGTCCGGGTCGGGTCGTTGGACCGCGCGGTAAAGAGTAAGAGCACGTGGCGACATTTTATTGGCGTCCGGATGTAGAGCTACGCCAGGTGTCTGGATCTAATAAAAATTCCTCTTGATGTAGCCATAAGCCTAGGATTTGCTGTTCGAAAATGTTCGACTTCGCCTATTTCACACATGAGGTAAAGTTTTGAACAAGTAGATAAAAGACTTCTTCACCTCTTTTGACGAGCATCCTGTTATGAAATATCGCCATTTTTTGTTGTTGGATCGGACCTAACGATGAGGACGTGAGGGAGCTCTTTGCGAAGGTAATTGTTTTCTCCCTTTTGCGCCCTTATTCGGCCATTTCTCTTGTCAATGTTATAAGCTAATTTCTTGAGTTTTGTTGGGCAGATATCTTTGAGGGTTAGGTAAAATTTTTATTTATTTGGAAGAGATTAATGTTTTAGCATTTTTTTACTTAAAAAATATTCGGTTTATAGAGTCTCAAGATTTTAAGCAATTTCAAATTTGACAAATTTTGAGTTATGGCTGATTAAGCCACTTTAGAATACACTACTTATTCAACTCAATTTAGATACTTACCGAAAATGATTTTTTAACTGACTAATTATTTAACTAATACTCATATTAAAGATTTAATTAATATTAAACTATTATTTAATTAATTTTAATTATGCATTATATTCTTAATTATCACATTAATCATTTAAATATTATAATACAAAGGATATACAAAGGATTATTTAATTATTATTTATAATATTATATAGTAATTATTCTATTTGAAATTACATTTAATCCTACTAATAAATTAATTAATTCATTAAGTATTATTTGTCGTTAGTTTCTAATTATAAATTATATTATTAAATTATCTATTAATCACTTAAAAATATACTACTTAATAATAATTATTATTTAAACTAATAATTATATATTTAATAATTTCTATTTTAAATTGGATAAATTAAGATAATTACAATAATTTTTAATTACTAATTATATTACTAAATATTTTAAAAAAGTTAAATTAGATAATTAACTTATGCACTAATTACACTATTAATTATTTAATTAATTTACTTAACAATTAATATTTTAAATTATATTACTTAAATTAACCAGTAATTAGTAATAGCTTAGAGGCGTCTAGGGTTTGCTTTTTATCTGGTCGTTACTGTTCGGTTTCGTTCCGCGGGAGGTGTTGAGATTGGACGAGTTGTTTCTTCGGCTCCTTCGTTGCAGTTCGACTTCGCTCCTTCGACGACGTTATCGGAAGTTACAACATTTTGATCGGAAGCAACGAACGGGAGCTCGCTCGCTGTGAAGGTAACTTTCTCCCTTTCGCGCGTTTCTTCGGCCAAATCCCGTAAATCTCTAATAAATCCGAACTCAACCCCTCAGCCCTCACAAATCTCGATCATCTACGTAGCTTTTCCTCCGTAGCCATGACACGGAGAGAACAAGACGATTGTGTGACAGCCACTTCTTCCTCCTCTATCAACTCAGTCTTCCCTCCTCAACCGTGTGCATCCGTTATAAAAGATGGGGCAGTGTCTGGCTTTCTACCTGAGACCGAAGTATTGGCTGTCCACTATCCCGGCTATCCCTCCTCCGCCTCGCGCGCCATCGAAACCCTAGGCGGCCTATCGAAAATCTCCGAGGTATTTCAATGTCGTGCTTTTCTCTTTCCTTAATTTTTTTCCTTCTCGTTCAAGTACGCCACTTTAACACTCTGTTTATGTCTTATTTCAGGCATGGAGCTGCGCCCTCCAGAATCTTAGCGGCACCCAAGATTCTGACAAGGTACTGCCCACCTGCTATTTTCTTTTGTGTCCTGGTGATATGACTTGTTCACATTATTTATTTGTGTCAGGATAGAAGGAGGTTCTTAAGTCTCAAATTCCGGCCCGAGGATCCTTACTGTCATCCGGCTTTCGGCGAGCCTCGCCCTTCCACAAGTATCCTCCTCCGAATTTCGCGGACTCAAAATGTGAAGGCAACTGGATATGCTGTTGTTCCGCTAGTGCCAGTTGAGCAGCTTTCAGCAGATGTTGTTGCCAGGGTTTCGTTGGCTCACCATTTTGAAGGTGAAATTAATTAGCATATATGTTTTAGTTTACATTAATTTATTCTTGAAGTTATTTTATAAATCAGCCAATATGTGCTCTGGCATTAGGTTTCTCTGTTAATCCCCTCCATTATTCTAATATTTAAGTGCAATTTGGGTTTGAATTTTTTTCTAATATTCAAATAGAATATATATTGTCATAACTGCTTGTTAGAAATCCAAGGTCAGATTTTACCATTTTTTTGTTGTGTACCAAAAACTTTGTATTAGTGACAATATGTTTTATCAGATGCAAATTAAAAATTATTAGGTTTTAAAACGACTGAATTTCATGTAGTGCTTCTAATGTGTAAATTGTGATGTTTTAAAGTAGATTTAATAATAGTATAATGCTTTAAAATTGAACCCAATGCATTATCATCGCATGCTTCTAATGTATAAATTATTTCTGGTTTTGCCAATAAAATAGTTACTTAAATTGTTTTTTAATAAAACTATTTTTTATGTGTAGGTATGGCAGATTATCAACATGTGATTGCTGTCCATGCTGCTGAGTCAAGGACAAAAAAAGGACGTTGGGCTTCCAATGATGAATTATTTTTAGGTAATGTGCTCAATATCTTCATGTTCATGATATTCATTGGTAGGATATTCTTTAACCACTCAAACATCACTCAACTTCCTCTATTAACTTTGTTAGTAGCCTAACACATGCTTTCTTGAATCATTGAAGTTAGGGCTGTCAAAATCGGGTCACAGGCCAGGTTTGGGTCTAACCCGAAACTGATCCGACCCATTTTTGCAAACGGGTCGATTTTCCGGGTCAACCTGAACCCGACCAGCTTCGAGTATGTTTTATTAACTTTTTTTTATTTAATTCAATTTATTTAAACCTAAATCAAATTAAGGTAAGATTTACTGCAATCAATTTAAAATAAATCAAGCTTAATTTAATTTGGGCAACAATATTTATTATTTTTTAGAAAAATTATTTACTTATTTCATAATAATCTTTTTAAACCCTCCTAAATTAATTAAAAACTGGTTAAACAGGGTTGATTTCGGGTTTCCGGGTCAACCCGAATTCAACCTGGTTCGGGTTGCCGAACCCGATATTTTCTGGTATGGGTTCGGGTCGGGTTTTTGGGTCGGGTCAAATATTGACACCCCTAATTGAAGTGCAACCATTCATGAGCTAACAACCTTGGACAATGATTACTATCCATTAGAACATAATTAGTGATTGTTGATTGATGCTTTTTTGATAAACATACAATATTCCACTATAGGTACATGCCTTGATGAACAAAGATTACTACCTCAACAATAACTTTCAAGTTTTTTAATGCCCAATTTATTAGATCTACAAATGGTCACGTGGGATGCTATTGATTAGAATCTTCTCTTCCTTTTTAAAAAAATATATTTCTTACTTTTAATAAGCTTGTGCACATCAAAAGGTTATTAAATTCATTCTTTTTGATATAAATTTGTGAGGTGATCCTCTTATGTGGCTGAACTTAGAGCTACAACTCTGCTAAGTAGATCTTGAGTGAGATTCTCCTCTTTAAATCTCAAATCTCAATAAGAATTATCATAAGCCTTCTGATTGCTCAAGTAGAGAGTTGATAAGGCATAGCTCTTTTAATGGTAGATTTAATTCAGGACTATTTGAGCTCTAATTTTATTGATTTAAGAATGTTCAATTGGATTTAACACTGTTGTTACCAGGTCCCAAGTCCTGGATGAGAAAAGTGGAGGGTTGCGTTAGATAGTCGACAACCAGCATAAAACTTATTGAATATTAATGACATGAATCCTTTAAGAAATTGTATTAATGCTAGGGCGTCCCCTGGAAGCGATGCGCTGTATGGCCTGAATACAATGACAAGTGTGCAAGGGCCGCTGCACCGGCGCCCGGGTGCAATGTTAAATAGGCAAGGGTTCTCACATCAAGGACGAATGTCGGCAAAGAAGCTAGTCCATAATACTAAAAAACTTGAAACTAATATTAGGATAGGAACTTAGAATATAGGTTCCCTTACAGTAAAGTTAATGGAATTAATAGATATTATGATTCATAGGAAGTTAAATATTTTGTGCATTCAGGAAACTAAATGGGTTGGAGAGAAGGCTAAGGAAATTGATAGGTTAGGATTTAAACTTGGTTATTTGGGTAAGAGACGTACTAGAAATGGCGTAGATGTTATTATAGATAAGAGTTTGAATGATAATGCTATAAAAATTAATATGATTGGAGATAGAATTATAACTTTAAAGATTATTGTTGATGTTAAGATTGTTTATATTATAAGTGCTTATGTTTCTCAAGTAGGTTTGGATATGAGTTCTAAATTAAATTTTTGGAATGACTTAGAAGAATTAATACAAAAGATACCTCTTGATGAAAAAGTTTTTATTGGAGGAGATTTAAATGGACATGTTGATAGAGAGGTAGATGATTTTAAAAGCATTCATGGTGGATATGGGTTTGGAACGTGGAATCCTAATGTGCAAGAAAAAATTAAAAATAAGAAGCTTTGTTATAAAAATTGGTTTAATTTTAAAAATTCTGATAATTGGGAATTATATAAAGTGGCTCGTAAGGATTCTAAGAAAGCAATATGCGATGCAAAGGCATTAGCTTTTAGTGATTTATATAATAGATTAGATACTAAAGAGGGAGAAAGATATATGTATAAGTTAGCCAAACAAAGAGATAGGAGTAGTAAGGATTTAGTTCAAGTGAAGTGTATTAAAGATGAAGATCAAAAAATACTTTTCTTAGAAGATGATATTCAACAAAGATGGATGAGATATTTTGCTAAACTTTTTAATGAAGATTGTGAAAATAAGATTGACTATAGTGACCTTAGCACCCTAGATGAAAATAAAGATTTATGTTTTTATCGGCGTATTAGTAAAACTGAAGTTAGAGATGCTTTAAAGAAAATGAAGGGTGGAAAAGCTGTTGGACCTGATGATATTCCAATAGAGGTGTGGAAATGCTTAGGAGATGAAGGAATTTCATGGCTTACTAAACTTTTTAATACTATTTTGAAGACTAAGAAGATGCCAGATGAGTGGAGAATGAGTGTGTTAATTCCTATTTTTAAGAATAAAGGTGATGTACAAGATTGTGCGAATTATAGAGGTATTAAGTTAATGTGTCATACTTTAAAACTATGGGAGTGAGTTTTGGAGCATAGGTTGCGGCGTGATACTAATGTTTCTCAAAATCAATTTGGATTCATGCCGGGTAGGTCGACTATGGAAGCCATACATTTATTCAGAGGTTTGATGGAAAAATATAGAGAAAATAAGGAGGATCTACATATGATATTTATTGATTTAGAAAAAGCATATGATAAAGTTCCAAGAGAAGTGCTATGGAGAGTTCTTGAAAAGAAGGAGTCAATAATGCTTATATTCAAATCATTAAAGATATGTATGCAGGAGCTATTACTTGTGTTCAAACACAAGGTGGATTGACCAAGTATTTTCCTATTTCGGTTGGATTACATCAAGGATCAGTCTTAAAGTCCATATCTTTTTTCTTTATTCATGGATGTTCTCACTAGACATTTGCAAGAGGATGTACCTTGGTGTATGCTTTTTGCTAATGATATTCTTCTTGTTGATAAGACTAGAGAGGGAGTTGAAGGTAAACTCTAGTTATGGAGGGCAACCTTAGAGTCTAAAGGTTTTCGCTTGAGTAGATCTAAAACGGAATATATAGAGTGTAATTTTAGTAGTAATAAACCTAGTGAGGGGATTGTGACTTTGGGCGATCAAGTCATCAATAAGAGTACATGTTTTAGATATCTTGGATCTATTATTCAGAGTGATGGTGAAATAGATGGGGATATTATCAGCAGAATTCAAGTTGGATGGCTGAAGTGGAGGAATGCATCGGGCTTGTTGTGTGATAGAAAAGTACCCCTCAAACTTAAGGGAAAATTCTATAAGATGGTGGTGAGGCCTGCAATGCTTTATGATGCCGAATGTTGGTCATTAAAAGAGAAGCATAATACTAAGTTAAGTGTGGCAGAGATGAGAATGCTCAGGTGGATGAGTGGCTTTACCCTTAGAGATAGGAAGCAAAATGAGCAAATACGTGAAAAGGTTGGAGTAGCTCCACTAGAAGATAAGATTAGAGAGAGTCGTCTTAGATGGTTTGGTCACATAAAACGGCGGCCTTCTGATGACCCGGTTAGGAGAGTAGTGGTATTAGATTTGACTTATGTTAAGAAAGGTAGAGGTAGACCCAAAAAGACTTGGTTAGAAAATATTAGGAATGACCTTTCTTTTTTAGATTTAAATGAGAATTTGACTTTTAATTGGACACAATGAAGGAAAATGATTCATGTAGCTGACCCCACATAGTGGGATAAAAGCTTGATGTTGTTGTTGTTGTTGAACTTGCTTATGAGGTGTCTGGGTCCAAGTTTGGCCAGTAGTTTGATAAAGTGAAGCCAAACTAAAGCCTAATTCAACGAGGAATGGGTGACTAAATATGCCTTAAAAATTATGCTTATTCAGGTTGGACGTTTAGATACCTAAAAGTTGCACCTTTTTTTATGGGCATTAAAAAAAAACCAGAGTGCCACTTATCGCTTTAACAGAAGCAACCCGTTTACTTGAGTAGTTTTTGAAAGATCACAATGCAAGTCAAAACTCCCCCAACCATAGTCTCTCGTAAGATATCAACATAATCATCTTCTCAGGATCATAAATTGGTGTTGATCCTCATAGTGTCAAAATTACCTTCCAACAAACTAAAAAGCTTGTGTAAAGTCTTGCCCAATTTTAGAGAAATTAAAATCCAAATATTGATCTGGATGAGCAATCCAATTATTGGCCTATATAAACAAGCCCTAGAAAATGACCAAAGCAAACAAGCCTGAGCATTGGCTATGGTAATGGCTCAGTCTACAAAATCTTAAACTATGTATGGGCTTAGTCATGTTAGTGTCAGGTTTGTAGGCCAATTGCTCGAATGCAGGCCCTGAGAAAAAACCAAATTTCCAAATAATGCATTGGCTTGATCATATGAGTGTTAGATCCGTAGGCCAATTGCTTGAGTGCAAACCCTGAGCAAATGATTCATAGTTTTGCATGGTGAATTAACTAGAAAATTTTATGGAGAAACTTCCTAGTTTAGTTTCATTAAATAAAAGACACCATAAATCTCAAGGAAAAAATGATTTTTCTTCATCGCAAAACTAACTATATGTGACGAGCTTGAGTGTGGAGGTTATATTAATTCAAATTAGGTGGAAGCTTTAATATTTTTGCAAGTAAAAAGGAGAATAATGGCAACATTCAAGGCGCACACAACAGTGAACCTTTCTTGCTTGTATTACTAATATATCAAAGGTTGGAATCCAAGTAACTCGACACATGGATAAACATTGTTTGAAATATAATATATTATTTAGCTACTCAAAGATCACTCAATTACCTAACTTTGTTAGTACTTAGTAGCCTAACCTATGGTATCTTGAATCACTGAAGAGTAGCCATTCATGAGCTACCAACCCCAGGCAATGAGCACGACCCAGGAGAACATAATTGGTGATCATTGATTGATGCTTTCATGAT